TCCCACTGATTAAAGCAAATATAGCTGCAAGGCAAAGGAAGGATAGAGCAGGGAGCCTGAAAACCTGAAACCACTGATCACTTGCATGCAAAACCATTCCATGTAGCACAGCTGAGTGTGAAAGAGGGTTCAGCTTAATGAACAATATCTGTACAGATAAAAGATCTTCTCTGTTGTTGTCAAATATAAGTAATCTCATGATGATCAGTATAAATGGGCCTCCTGTTAATCTTCTTGAACCTAGGAAGTATGTGACAACATGGTTAAGAAACCAGCGCTCTGCCACAGAAACAAGAAGACAAGTGAAACATAAGGAGCCTCAAAACAAACATGTCTGGAACATTTTATAGACACAGTTTTAACCTGCATAGTACTTCTGTACTTACATGTAGTACTTGATACATAAGCATGTTTTGTTGTTCTGTTTTATAGATTCTACATCTTTTCAATACAAAGCCAACTGTAGTACAGTTTGCTGTTCATTGATTCAAATGTAAGCATCAGAGAAATTAAGCAATGTTAAATATGCTTAAAAATAAAAAATAAATGGTCAATTACATTGCACTTACTGGTATGCTTATTTCTAAGCACAGTATACCCACTACAATAATGTAGACTACACCACTGGTTACAGGTACTAATATCACCAAAAACAGTTTGTGCATGAGTTCATTGTAATGTATCTTAAAATCCAAGGTTCGACTGAAATGAAATTTCTAAAACCCTGATTAACTGAATTCCCGCTTTTGGTGGATTAGAGACGGATGCAGTGATAGCAAGGTGAGCTAGAAATGACGTAAATCAAGGTGGAGGAGCAAGCCATACTTTGTGGAGAGCGCACCCCTGTGGGCATTCCTGGTTTGAATACAAAAGCCCATATGAACAAAAAATAAATCACTATCACCCTCTAGATTTTCCTCCAGGTTTTACTTGAAGCCTAAAAAACTCCTTTTAACATTAAAAAAGTGATTTCTGAGCGATAACTTTAAGAAACTGCTTTGTGTTCAATATGGTCTTTACTGACATATTTGTATTGGAGGTGTGTTTTATGTTATGTAGTATTAATCTACATTTTATTCCATACAGTGTTAACTAAATATTTTCTCTGAAGACTGAAAAGTGAATTTAAGCAGAATCCGTTACTTTGATGGGAAAAATCAATAAAACGTGGCTGGAAAATGAAGGAGTGCCAGGAAAAGTTGGGGATGAGATGAGTTGCCGTCTGTTTGTTTGTGTTTGTCACAGGAGGAGGTGGGGGAAAGGGAGGCACAAATGGATCATATTTCCCAGGGTGTCATTCACCAGCCATCTTCCATTAATCTTCTATACACTCATATTGCCTATGAAGGAGCTATCATTCAGTTATACAAACACACACACATGCACTCTATTTGATATCGTGTCTGACATTCAGGCATGTTTTCATATATCTCATTGAGCCATGACATTAATACAGCCGCCATTGTTTGGGGGTTTTCTACTTCTAATCTACAGATTTGTAAAACAGAAAGTTATCAAAATGGTTTTTCACAGCAAAACATGTCAATGCCAACATACAACTCAGATCACAGAAGATTCTCAGTCATCCAGGTCATAGTCATCCAGGTCTCAGTCATCCAGGTCATAGTCTCAGTCATCCAGGTCATAGTCATCCAGGTCTCTGTCATCCAGGTCATAGTCTCAGTCATCCAGGTCTCAGTCATCCAGGTCATAGTCTCAGTCATCCAGGTCATAGTCATCCAGGTCTCTGTCATCCAGGTCATAGTCTCAGTCATCCAGGTCTCAGTCATCCAGGTCATAGTCTCAGTCATCCAGGTCTCAGTCATCCAGGTCATAGTCTTAGTCATACAGGTCATAGTCTTAGTCATACAGGTCATAGTCTCAGTCATCCAGGTCATAGTCTCAGTCATCCAGGTCTCAGTCATCCAGGTCTCTGTTATACAGGTAATAGTCATCCAGGTCTCAGTCATCCAGGTCTCCCTTATCCAGGTCATAGTCTCAGTCATCCAGGTCATAGTCTCAGTCATCCAGGTCATAGTCTCAGTCATCCAGGGCTCAGTCATCCAGGTCATAGTCTCAGTCATCCAGGTCATAGTCTCAGTCATCCAGGTCATAGTCATCCAGGTCATAGTCTCAGTCATCCAGGGCTCAGTCATCCAGGTCATAGTCTCAGTCATCCAGGTCTCAGTCATGCAGGTCTCCGTTATCCAGGTCATAGTCATCCAGGTCATAGTCTCAGTCATCCAGGTCTCAGTCATCCAGGTCTCCGTTATACAGGTAATAGTCATCCAGGTCTCAGTCATCCAGGTCTCCCTTATCCAGGTCATAGTCATCCAGGTCATAGTCTCAGTCATCCAGGTCATAGTCTCAGTCATCCAGGTCATAGTCTCAGTCATCCAGGGCTCAGTCATCCAGGTCATAGTCTCAGTCATCCAGGTCTCAGTCATGCAGGTCTCCGTTATCCAGGTCATAGTCATCCAGGTCATAGTCTCAGTCATCCAGGTCTCAGTCATGCAGGTCTCCGTTATCCAGGTCATAGTCATCCAGGTCATAGTCTCAGTCATGCAGGTCTCCGTTATCCAGGTCATAGTCATCCAGGTCATAGTCTCAGTCATCCAGGTCTCAGTCATGCAGGTCTCCGTTATCCAGGTCATAGTCATCCAGGTCATAGTCTCAGTCATCCAGGTCTCAGTCATGCAGGTCTCCGTTATCCAGGTCATAGTCATCCAGGTCATAGTCTCAGTCATCCAGGTCTCAGTCATGCAGGTCTCCGTTATCCAGGTCATAGTCATCCAGGTCATAGTCTCAGTCATCCAGGTCATAGTCTCAGTCATCCAGGTCATAGTCTTAGTCATACAGGTCATAGTCTCAGTCATCCAGGTGAGTTTTAGTCATTCAAGAAAAGATAAATCAAACATTACCCGCCACATATCTGACTCAATAACCATTAAAACAACTCTTTTCATTCATTTCAGACGGAACTATTCACATACTCATACATACCAAGTACCATTTCCTCTGATCACAGAGCAGCTGGCTTGCTTGGTCTCGCAATGAATCCTGGGATATCCAAGGATAGCAAGGATACATCTGATCCGTCCTTCAACTCGGGCAAAAAGAAAGAAGGCATTTGTAGGCCGAAGCCGAACCAGTAAAGGTTCGAATGAACCTTCTAATCTGGCCTTCGGAGGATGCAGCCCATGAATTCAAACAGCCATAGTGTAAATCTCAGTCCTTTAATTAAGTTTGCTGCTGTTTAGTGAAGTTAGATTGTATACCATATTAAAGCAACACTATGTAGGTTTGGACCCAAGTATTAACTTAAATTGGAATGTATTAAAGGATTTTCAGATCAATGTACAGTTCTTGGCAACTACCGATGCTCTGTGTGGGATGATCCTTCAAAGAACTTTTGATGGTAGAAGCCCAAACTTCCTTTTATAAAGCAGTGTATGAAGGATATTGAGGATCATTAAGACCGATTTTACCCTGATTGATGAACCTGACTTGATCAGTCATACATTTGGTTCTCTGATGTAGAATTTAACCCTTTATAGGGCAAGTTAGCGTTTTTGATTAATTGCATACCCCTTACAAATGGAACCCCCCCCCCCCCCAGTGAAGTCTAGAAGCACAAGATCTATATCCAGCCATTAAACTAAAATGCTGCTACATGGCTGTACATCTCATTTTGGCATTTGACCAATTAGATGAGCCCTTGAAGGATATATTACCTACTGTAAATTAAGTTACAAAAAAACAAGTCAAGAACAAAAAAGGTAAAAAGCTAATTGAAAGTTAAAAAGTTAAGAAGTCTAGTTAACAATTATATTTAGGTTCATAAACTTAAAAAAAATAGAAGTGCCAGTATCAGCATTAATGCCTCTAAGGTTATGTTGTACCAAAGAAAATGTGTTTTTTTCCCTCTCAGAGTGTTTTTCATGAATTTCTGGGCTCTCCTCAGAAGCACTTTAGTTATTGTTCTCAATATATTCGGGCGAGTTGGCGTCCCTTATTACATTGACTTTAATTTTTACCATCAAAATATTCATATTTTTTGAGTGTTTCAAAGGTAATAAGGTCTTGTCCTGGATTCCAATAACACTATTGGATTGAAAATTAGATTTTCAAAATATTTTACTGAGTCGCCTACAAAAAGATAATCTTCTCTTTTTTTTTTATCTTTTCTTTAAACAAGATATAATTTTGAGAAAAAAACAGAGATCTGATAAAGCAAGTCCTTAGAAAGATACATTTTGAAATGTGATTGTTGGAGCAGTGACAGTGCATAAAGTCTTTACATCACCATTTTAAACCTCGCTTCATCTACCTTGTTCAGATGTCTTTCCTCATTTAGATTAATTTCCTTTCCATGGAACCACCAAGAACTGTCCCTCTGAACTCCATTTAAACTGTTAAGTGTGCTGATCATTTTCTCTTTCTAGTCAGACATTAAAGTTCAAACAGAATCACTCTTATGAAAGACACAGATATCCAGACAGTAGTCGCTCACTGATTTGACCGTTGCTTTAACAGCCTGTCTGGTTCATTTTGTTTGTGTATTGAGGGTTTTCTCTCTGAGTCACGCATTCCCTTTATCTGTGCTAAACTGATAGGAATGATTGGCACTCTGAGAATGATGCATCTCAAAGCTGCTGTGAATCATCAAAAATAAAAAAAATCCTATCTAAAAAGCCATCATTATTAGGTTCTGCTTTTGTTTGTGGGATTTAAAAAAAAAGGCTCAATTCTGCTTGGAAATGGGCCACTCTGAAGGGAATTAAGCTTTTTATTTCCCAATGTCAGATTGCTGTAGATACCCTCATGTTTGAGCAAAGTAGTTTATTTAAAAGGATGCAAGAAAATTAAAGTCAAAGAACACCAGAGTAAAGTGCCTCTACTTGTATTTACCTCCCCTTCAGCTGGAATTGCTCAGCCGTTAGCTGATAAGAATCTCATCAGCTCCTTTGTGCATTCTCTTCCCGCTCCATCTCTGACAGATATGTATCGCCTGGAGCTGGCGGGTGGCCTCGGGGTCATCTTGCTGTTGTTGGGTATCCTGACGGCTCTGTATAAGTGTTACAACCTGGAGATCATGCTCTGCTACAGGAGACACTTTGGGAGCGATGAGACGGAAGACGGTAAGCTAATCCGAGTCTTTCCAGGGTTCTTCATGGTAACGTGACACAAATGGGTTTGGTAGATGTCACTTAACTTATGGAAGATCAGACAGCTCATGAGTTTGTTCAAATCAACCGTCTTTAAAGCAGCACTAAGTAACATTTTACTGTAAAATATCATCTTATAAGTCTTTGTGATTGTAATAAAGGTGTTTATGAGTTGAGTTGTTTATCACCTGCCCCTACCTGCTCTGCTTGGAGAACCACACTTAAAAAATTTTCCATGCCACCAACCCAGTGGCAGTCTGTTCTTCTTCTCGTGGCGTAACCACTAACCTCATGCTGCGTTCACAACGAACGTGTTTAGAGCATCAAAAAGACTTCCAACACCTCATCTAGGATGCCTCAACAAACTGAAGTCAGATAATTAAGGGAGTGTTTTTGAGGTCCTTGATTCACATCAAGCAAAGTGTCTGCAGAGGCTTCTAACGCACCTTAAAGGGCTGGTTATCCTCCGCAGCAGTGTGTCGCAGTGAGCTTGATGCAGATATGTTTGATTTATGCCCAATTTTGAAGCGTGGTCTGCACTATGTTATTCAACGCAAGAGGGACAATCAGGAACTAGCTCTGAGTCAAGATACGGCCGAGGCGCCGAGGAAGTGGGGCCAGTTTGTGCGACGACGGAAGGATATGAGGGGTAAAAAGAGCGGGGATCCAGGTGGAAAAAGGGTCCCAGTTTTCTTGCGCATAGCTGGTCCATCTTCACGAGTCGTTTTCCACAATGGTGGTCATACAAAAAAAAGCTGATAAGGTACCAAACAGGAAATACGCATAGCGTAGAGCGGATGTACAATTGACCAATCAGAGGCCTCCTGTCTGCGGCACTGTCTGCAGTCACCTACAATTTTGGAGAGGTGCACCAGAGTGTCTGCGGGAGGGGCGGGGCATATCTGCATTCAATGCAACACACATGCAGATGACCTGGTTTCTGAGTATAAATCAGCCTCTCCAAAATTTTAGGTAACCCGCAGACAGGAGGCTTCTGATTGGGCCATTGAAACATATATTATCCTAACTGGGAATGACCTTGATGAACTAAAGTTGTTCTTCCTCCAAATGTTCGTGTGTGAGAAAGTTCTTTATGTAGGGGTGGGATAATTCCAAGGGAGAGTGTGTGTATTGGGAGATGCTGTATAAAAGTATGTACTGAGCTTTGCCCAGTCAAGGCTCTATCTCTCCATCTGAGGACGTTAAATCAATTTGAACCTTCTCTTGCAAGAGTCTCAGCTTCTTCCTCAACTTCACAGTAGCAATTTGCATTCAAATGCTGTTTTTAACTAGTTTATTTTAGATAATGTACCATTCCACCCAGCTCTTTCTATATTTTATTGTGATATACCTCTTTCAACCACTTTGAAGGTGATCCTGCTGTAGATGTGGGTTACTGGGCAGTCAGCATTTACAACAATGCTTTTTTCAATGTGTCCTGCAGGGGGAGCACCACTCTAACAATACTTATTGCTATTTTAAGTGAACTGCTAAACAGGACACATAATTTGTTTCAGAGCAGTTTCCTTGCATCTTAATGGTTATGTCTGTTTTCCCTTCTCTCGTCAGATAATAAGGAGTATGATGCCTATCTTTCCTACACTAAAGTGGAGCTGGACTCTCTGGGCAGGTCAGGTCTCTCATACATTTAGGCTGAACTGTGTGATTCCTTGAAGCATTTTAAGTTAAACCTGACTTTATTCTTCTAATAGTTTTAATTTTTCAGACTCATTACTTTTTTTTTTAATGCATACGCTTATGTTCATTTGTCATTTCATTTTCTGAATTCATGTTTGTTTCTTTTTGGAGTCTATGTCAAGGATTGGAGCCTGCTTTTTACATAGAATTTTTTTTTCAGAAGTTCTCTGGGTGTTGAAACTACCAACTGTATGCCAGTTCTTACCAGAGCATGTGAGCGGAATGTGGATCGAGCGGAAAAAATATGGTCGAGCGCAAAGCGGTTTTCAATTCAAAGGCCGGAGCGAGGATTTCGCTCTGCTCCAGTTCGCTCCGATGCGCTCACAACGTCAATTAAATATGATGGATTATAACATTTTTAAAATAACATTTATTTGATTTAAGTCTAGTAAAATAAATTACTAATTAAATAGGAAACGTGGGGCAACATGAATGGAGCTAGGTGTTACGTTCCCAGCTGGGATAATTTAACAGCCAGATAAATAAGACAATAAACATGTATCGGTCACATTATTAAATCAAACGCAGTGTCCCAGGCCCCTGGCATCATTAGATGAAGGAAAAATGTCAGTAAATCACTTTTCTTGAAAATTTAAGCGAGCGTGGATTGATTTCGCCGGAGCAGCAGGAAAATTAATGTGAGCACGGGGCGGATTTTGAGCGGAGCGTCCAACTTTGAGCGGCGGAGCGAATGAGCAAACATCCACCTGAGCGGGGAGCAGGAACTGCGCGGTGCTCTGTTCCGTTCACGTGCTCTGGTTCTTACCATATAAAAAAAAAAAACGCTGGAAGAGTGAATCTGGAGAAGGTTCTGTATGGAGCCAAATTGGGATCATGAAGGTTCTTCAAAAACATTTTTTAAGTGAAAACTTTTTTTTTCAAGACAAAACAAAAATAAATATAAAACAAATCAGCCAAAGAACACCAAACATAAAAACAAAAAATATTTCAAACTGAAACAAAAATCTTCTCAAACAGAAGAAAATTCTATAGAAAATGAAAAAAGTAAGCAAGAAATGAATAAAAAATGTTTAAAAGTATTTTTTAGATTTGGTTTGATTTTTTCAGTTTGGGATTCTGTTTGCAGTTTCACAGCCCTGCCCTCTTGGTTTTGGGGGCGGGGCTTAGATGGCTTAGAGTGTGTAATGACTAGGGTTGGGAATTGATAAGATTTTCATGATTCTGATTCTCTTATCGATTCTGTGTAACAATGAAATTGGTAAGTGCACGGTGACATTCGTCTACCTTCGCCTGGGACATTCTATTTCTGCCTGCCTCGGCGAAAACAGAAGGCAGTGAACGGTAGCTGCCAGCCTCTGAGCCACCAGGCTACCCGTCTCATCACAATCATCTAAATCTAACGGAGACGGCATCCGTTTAATGAAAAAGCATTACTGTACAATTTGGGGAAATAAACTAATGTCCTCCTGATTTAAATAAATGAGCATCACCTTTCTCTCTCTTCCTGAACTGCGGAGCTACTTCGTAGCATGTTTAATAATCCCAAAGATAGGTAGGAAATGGGTTTATTTGCAGAAATGGCATATGATTTACCAGGAACCACATTAAGCACAGCCAGTGATATAAAACTAGCTACTTACCACCAGAGTTGCCTTCCATGCCGGTCGTCACTTTAGCTTCTGTCCGGAAGCATCAAAAACACAGCATTCGTTAAAATGTATGCCATGTTGTGTGCGCAGGTGTTTCTGCATGTTGGATGTATTTCCTCCTGCAGATGTAATTACCACTTTGCAATAATTGCAAAGAACCTTGTTGCCATCTTTCTCTTCCTTAAAATGAAGCCAAACATTTTGATCGCTTTACCTGAAGGGGCGCAATTTTTTATTTTTTTTGCTTTTCTAGACCAACACCTGGTCACGTCGTACTTGCTTACTGAATGCTGTGTGCCTAACTTGCGTAAAAAAATGTGACGTAAGTCATGCTGCGCAGAGCTAGGCTCTGATGCTGCCTGGAACCGTTATGAGAATTGTTAAGCGAGCTGCCAAACGGTGGAATTGGACATGGAATTGGAACAGACGGAACGGTTTTCGATTCCCATCCCTAGTAATGACAATTAACAGCTTTGTTGTCTACAGAAAACATTTCAAGCTGTTGCATTCAGGTATCATGCAAACTAGAAATGCCTTTAAATCATGATCAATATTCTATATTTATGTGATTAGTTTAGAAAAACAACAAACTGACACAGCTGGAGTCCTGCCGCCGCTGCAGTCAGTCTGGCAGAGCCTCCACCGCACTAAGAGAGTCCTGCAAAGGACTCATTTCTCTAATGAGATTTGTGTCGTATGTTGATAAAAAGCTTCTTTGCAGAATCAGCCCAAACTGATGGAGGTAATTAGAATATTTCAAGTATTTACTGAGACCACTGAGGCAGATAAAAGATTCAGTGAGTTATCCACTCCCGGTTAGACACTGGCTATCATATTTTCTCAACAGAACCTCTTTTCCAAACTTCCGAAATGGCCTTTAAATGAATTTGGAGACATTTGTCCCACAGTGTTTGCAGCCTGAGAACATTTTTCTCTATTTGCTCTCCCAACAGGACAAGCAGTGATGAGGAGACCTTTGCCCTGGAGATCCTGCCGGACGTTCTTGAAAAGCATTACGGATACAAACTATTTATACCAGACAGAGATTTAATACCCAGCAGTAGTAAGTATCCTCCCATTTATCAACCTCCGCCTCCATTCCTCCTGCACACAAACACACCCACTCTCTCTCTATAGGTCATTGCAATCCCCAATCCCCAGAATTCATCAGTCTGTCAGAATAAATCAAAATGTGTGCAGACCTTCATCATGGCACACTTGCTGCCGGACAAATGTATCTCTGTCAGCTCTCAGGTGTGCATCACGCGCACAATAAAACACATTTTCTTTTTTTTTATTTAAACTTTAGTTGAATTGTATCTCTTTCCATCAGGAGTTAACCTGCACTGTATTTGCACGTGTCTTCTGAGTTCCCGTCTAGCTCTCACGGCCTGCAGACGGGCCAAACATTCACGTTTCCACATGATGAAAACGTTTTTCTGGATAAGATTGTAAACATTGAAGCAGATCTCAACCTGTGATTCATGCTTTAACTTCCTGACATTTAAAGGTCTTCTATCCTGATTTTTAAACCCTTCGAAGTCGCCTATCAGCAAATGGTTGGTGAATTAAAGCCTTTGGCACTTTGTTGGTTTTAATTTAGGAAATATTTCTAAATGGGTCCAACTTAATGCCATCATTGCGGACATGGCTTCTGCTCCGCTTGAACAAAGACCGAATGCACCCTAGTAAAGGGCCCCTACAGTAGCAGCCATTCAAAATGGCCCTTCGCAGTCAAACCCGAGCCGAATGGCAGCCCACTTCCCTGCAACTCTCAGCCAAATCCCCTCCAACTTCTAGCCACTGGCCTTCTCCTGGGCGTTCATTTGTCTTACTCTGACTCCTCCCTTTCACTGAATTACAGGGTCTAACCAGGAGATGGTGCTTCTATTTTGACCTTATTGTCCACAAATCATGACAGAGAGAATATTTTAGTACAAAGATTGATGTTTAAAAAGGAATTGTAGAGGACCAGCCAAGAACCAGCCAAGGGCCCATCAAGGAAAGTGGGGAAAATTTGAATGTCTACTACAGAGCACCACAAGGGATCCAGTTGGATGCCTTCTTCAGGTCCACTAAACACACACGAACCAGTTGTGTAAACTCTTATGAACTCTCAACTTCCCTGCAGAGGGTAGAGCTGATCCATGGTTCCACTGGTCCTCCTGAATCAGAGGTCGACATTCAGCCTGACTCTCCTCTCCAGCAGCCTAGCGTTTCATTTTTTTCCTCCTGCTTGGTCTAAAAAAGTAACCGTTACTGAGTACCTAATTTTTTATTGATTACTTTTAGTGTTTCTTAAAGCCAGACAGTTGCCATTCGAAATTACTTTAATTTTGTGTCGTGTGTGATCGGCTTTTTCTACAAAACTAAGCAACTGAATTAACATCCGCCTGGGCCAATGATTCCATCATATTTGCCAAGAATTAGACTTAGACAAACTTTATTGTCATTTCGGTTTTGTAGAGCTCTCATGAGCTCCTTTCCATTGCTTAAAGTGCGGCAATGATCACATGTAAACATTGGGAGAAAAAAACATGGTGTAAAAATATGCATTGATACATTAGCAGCCATTCAAAATGGCCGTTCCCAGTCAAACCCAGCCGAATGACAGCAAAATCCCCTCCAACTTCCAGCCACTTGCCTTCTCCTCGGTGTGCATATTTTTTTACTCTGATTCCACCTTTCACTGAATTACATGGTCTAACCAGGAGATGGCGCTTCTCTTTAGATCTAAATGTCCACAAATCATGACAGAAGGAATATTTTAGATGTTTAAGGCCCCGTCCACACGAAGTCAAAACGAACACGAAACGCTAATATTTTCCAGAACGTTTGTCGGAAAGACGGAGACGTAAAATAAATGTGATCGTCCACACGAATGCATGAAAACGCTGCAAAATGTATGCCAGGCCTGTAAGTGGTGCTGTGGTGCCAAAGCAAAAATAGGCGACGAAATGTTGGGCATGCGCACTAATATTTATACATGGTTGCCCTGCGGGTCCATTTTCGTGGTTCAGTCAAATTCAGGTGCTGAACTATGTCGTCGATATTGTTCTGTTCTTCCTGGAGATATTCTAGAAGAAGAAGATTCTGTTGTAAGCCCGACAGCAGGGTGAGTAGCATTAGCAGCAACAGCGCCATTGTTGTTGTGATACTGTGTCGCGCATGCGTGTTTAGAGGCGACGCTATGACGCATGCGTGTAAAAAAAAAAAATGCGGTTAGAGCTTAAGGATTGAAACGCGAAAACGGCGTTTCAAAATCTTCCCACTCTGAAGGCTTAATAAAAAAAAAGATTGTTTACAGACCCCCGAAACGCCGGCTTCGTATGGATGAGAGGCTGGTTTGGTGAAAAATTTGTGCATTTAGGCCAGGGTTTGGCTTCGTGTGGACGGGGCCTAAAACAGAATTTTAGGGGACCAGCCAAGGGCCCATCGAAGAGAGTGGGGAAATTTTGAATGGCTATACTGTATGGTCAGTGTGATGCAGAGTTTCGGAGTCTGCTGGACCTGCTTCGAATGCTGCAAAGCCTCTTTTCAGAGGACAGCAGGGAGAACAGTCCATGGTGGGGGTGTGAGGGGTCATTGGTGACGTTACGGGCTCATGACATGCACCATCGCCGAGGGATGCAGAAATAATTAGGAAGTTCTTAAAAGACCTAAAACTGAACAGATTTAGTCTGATTGAAGTTAAAAAAAAGTGACATATGTTTAAATGAAGTTATCTCAAACAGCTTGTTTCAAAAAAACCTGAGCTATAGTCCCCATAAGAGTAGCATAAAATTATCTTTTTTTTAACAAATACTAATATGGGTTGTGATAAATAATAGCTAATTTGCTATTAGCTTCATCTCAAAGACTCAAAGGGTTTAAAAAAGTAAACAGTTCATAAAAGAGTCAGTCAGAATTTATTATCATCTAGAGACTATTAATAACAGGAGGTGAAATGCAGCTCCAGACGAGCAGAGCGTGTGGTGACGTCATCAGTACGCTTCTGTTCCAACTGACCCAGATTTCTGCTGCATGCTCCCATTCGCTCCAGTCCAGACTTTCCTGGGTTCTTCTCAAAAACGTACTTGGTGAGGACACGAGTCCGTACTCGCGTTCTTGTGAAAAAAATTCTATACAATTCTATACACCTGGAGAAAAAAATAAAGGAGAAATGTAAGAAATATTCAAAAAAAAATTTTTTAGATTTGTTTATCTTTTTTCAGTTTTGGATTCTCTTTGCAATTTCAAACCGCTGGCCTCTTGGTTTTGGGGGGCAAGGCTTAGATGACATAGAGCAGAGGTCTTCAACATGTTGGGAAAGTTTTGGATAATTAGACTTTTTTTTATTTTTTCATATTCCCCCTTCAGTTTTTTCCATTAATTGAAATGTCTTTAAATAAACATTAACATGAATCCAACACACTGTAGTAAACAGATAAATGGAGGCAGCGGATGTCTTTCAGTCATCAATGCTCACATTCAGCAACACACAAGAGCTCTTTCAAGCTGGACACCGTTTCATTCACAACACCTGTCCCATCAACCAGGAATCAGAATCAGAAATACTTTAATAATCCCAGGGTGGAATTACTTTGATATAACACAATTTCATACAATATATATAATGAGGGGGCCCCGCTCCATCTCGCCATCGGTTTGGGGGTCCTTGGCCTTGAAAAGGTTGAAGACCGCTGGCATAGAGTGTGAAATGCTGATTACCAGCTTCAGTGTCTACAGAAAACATTCCAAGTTGTTGCATTTAGGAATCATGCCAACTAGAAATGCCTTCAAATCATAATCGATATTCTATATTTATGTGATTAGTTTAGAAAATCCTCAAACCGACACAGCTGGAGTCCTGCCGCCGCTGCAGTCAGTCTGGCAGAGCTTCGGCTGCTTTAGGTCCTGCAAAGGTTAAACAAGGACTTATTTCTCTAATGAGATTCGTGTCGCATGTTGATAAAAAGCTTCTTTGCAGAGTCACCCCAAACCGATAGAGGTAATTAGAATATTAAAAGTGTTTAACAAGACCCCTGAGGCAAATAGGAGATTCAGAAAGTTATCTACTCCTGGTTAGACACTGACTATCATATTTTCTCAACAGAACCTTTTCCAAACTTCTGAAATGGCCTTTAAATGAATTTGGAGACATTTGTCCCACAGTGTTTGCAGCCTGAGAGCATTTTTCTCTTCTCAAAGACTGAAAGAGTTTAAAAAAGTAAACAGTTAATGAAAGAGTCAGGGACCTTTCTAATTAATATCATCAATACAATGTCTGCTGTGCATAAACACACATTTCTGTCTGAGCTGCAGAGTGAGTGGAGCACAGATAGGCGTCTTCTAGAAATAATTCAATTATCCTGCCTGCTTAGTGCCACACAATGAACAAAATAAATAACGAGCAAAAAGAGGCGAGGACACGGGGCACTGGTCTGAGCTGTTTTATTAATTGATTAACATAATCTGAGGCACAGGGGTTGAAGGACAAGAGGAAGGAGGAGGGGCTTAACGACTGATGGAGAGGAGCAGCGGATGAAAGGCAGAAAACAGGCTGAATTCAGGAGGTTCTGTTCTATTTGTGCTTCTCCGATTGAGCGTGAAATTACAATGTGATGTTAGAGAGTCTGCGTCATTAATTCAGTTAGCAGGTGAAGACGTGACTGGGACGAGTAAGATATACAGGAGGAGGAAATCTGGTGTTTACAGAGGCAAGCAGTTTTAAGTAAGACAACATGGAGAATGTTGCATGAAACTAAATGAGTAGTTAACAGAATGTCACCATCCACCCCTAACCATCACCTGACCTCCTGCAGGGTCTATTTTCTAAAAGATACGCATTCATAGATCATTTGTAAACCTGTATGACATCTCTGACTCTCTGGAGTGAATGTTGCTACAATATTGTGTGGGAAGTGCCTAGTGGTTAGAGCAGTGAGAAGGTTGCAAGTACCCGGTTCGATCCCCACAGCCTCCACTCTGGGTGCCTCAGCAAACCCCTTAAAGTCGTAGGGGAATCATATTTAAATGTCAAATCATTCTGGTTTAAACATGTATATAAATGTACTCTTTATCAGACTATATTGTCCCCAACTTTAGAAAATTTATATTTAAAAAACATCCCGTCTTAAAAACTGTGGGGGTTTTTCGTTATCTTATGCAGGCCAGTTAGTTATACGTCAGTCTGAACACCTAAATTCGGCCAATCATATATCAACGGTCGTCTGTCAATCAAATTTTTTCGGTCATAGCATCTTGGTTCATATGTCGCAGCTAATATACGCAACAAATGAAATCAGAATCATTCCTTTCCCATTGAGTTCCGTCCCAGTGTTCACGGGGATGGACGTCTGTGTCTTCAGCAGGCGTAGAGCTAACAGAACTGGCAGCGTTGCGAGGCAAGGGCTCAAACATGTACGGCTGGAAGCCTTCTACACCAAACCAAGCTTCTGCCGCCCTGGCGTCCTCTTCCATAAGATCTTCATCCCCGCTTTCCTCCTCTAAATAAAAAATGTATGACGGAGGAAACTCATCCACTAAGTTGCTAACTGGTTAGCAAGATGCTTTAGAGAAACAAGCCACAATCGAACTTTCTTGCGAACCTTCCGCCACAACAATCCCGCCTCCTTGATAAACGACCAATAACATTCACTTTATTCACTCTTTTAAAGTTGTGCACCACTCGGAAGAATACAGAAATGCAACGGTTGTAATGGCCGCTTCCCTACCACTTTAAATATTTACTCTATATCTCAACAAGATCCATTTGTGGGAACTCTTAAATAGCCCTTTTATTTTATGCCATCAGGATTGATTGAAAATTGACAGAATCCTCAAATCTGGACAAGAAAATAAAAATGGTTTAGTATGTTGTTACTCGGGGAAAAGGCTCAATAGGCTTATTTTCTAGTCTACTATGATTGTAGGTTTACAGAACCAGCAACCAGAAACTGATGACTGTCCTTTCCTCTGCAGACCAAAGGCAAAGCGAAGCAATTATATTTCCTAAAAGTCTGTATACAATGTAGGTATCTTGCATCCATGTAAGGATGATTGGAGGAATCAAATGGAAAGTGGACTGCTGGGATGAGGAACTTATTCAATCAGCAATTCTAACATTTTGAAATATGTCTTTTTTAATCTCTAATGTAAGTTAAAGAACCTAAAAATTACTCCTTATCTGTCAGCTACACAGCCAAAAGATAAAGAACATTAATAATGTTAGCTTTTAAAGTAAAACTCCCTGTAAAAGTATAATCTGGGCACAATGTGGGTAGTTATTTTTTTCTGTCGCATCATCTGCAAAGGCGTTCTGATAAGACTCTTATTTCGGCGTAATGTCTCAGTAGCATTGCATCGAAATATTACAGGCAAAAACTTTATTACATTTATGTTTACCCTCTTGTAAGTGCTGGGATATGTGAAATCTAATTTGTTGGAAAAATAGGAACACACACTATAATGAGCCCTTAATGCAGGAAACATAATGACAAAGGTTTTATCTGCAGCTGAACACGACATGTTTATCCCAGTGACTATGAGAAGGGACTCATCTCCCAAAGGTTCCAGATAGACCAACACAGCCCTCAATCATTTGGTGCATTTTGAATAAATGCATTGTGATTACAGCTAGCTGGCATTTTTCCTTTGCATTAATGGATCTCTGTCCCTTCTCTATTTCACCACTTCTCTCTCCTTCAGCTTACATTGAGGACTTGGCGCGCAGCGTGGAGCAGAGCAGACGCCTGATTATCATTTTGACTCCGGAGTTTGTTGCCAAAAGAGGCTGGAGCATCTTCCAGATAGAGACGCGTCTCCACTCCATGCTGGTGACAGGAGAGATCAAGGTGGGCTTTGTAGATCATCTGTGCTCCTTACTGATTTGAAGTCATAAGGAAGTCATAATTAAATGTCAAATAATTCTGGCTTAAACATGAATAAAAATGTACTCTTTATCAGACAATATTGTCCCAAAATTTAGAAAATTTATTTTTTTATAACAATCCTTTAAAACAATTCGGCCAATCATATATCAACAGTCATCTGTCAATCAAATGTTTTTGGTCATGGCATCTTGATTCATATGTCGCAGCTCATCAACAACCTCCGACACTAAACTCTCCTCCTCTTGCATGTTTCCTCTGTCCATAGCGTTCCTTGACAGTGTCGTTTCTAAGTCACCAATTTAGTGCTACTTGGTCCCAATGGAATTTCCCATTGGGAACCTACTATTACATTCACCTTATTCACTTGTTTAAAGTCGTGCACCACTCAGGAGAATTTGGAAATGCAACGGTTGGAACAGCCGCTTCCCTACGACTTTAAAACTCAGTTGGTGAAGATTTTACATGTTTCCTCTTTTCTCTCTGTTTCTGTTTGTCTAGGTGATCATGATAGAGTGTGCGAACTTGAAGAATGTCATCAATTACCAAGAGGTGGAAGCTCTGAAACATACAATCAAGGTAGAGAGTCTTTTGATGGTGGATAAAAGAAGGAGATGCAAAAAGTGACCTTGGCACTAACCTTTGCTTTTCTGCTCATAAGGTCTTATCTGTTATCAAGTGGAGGGGTCCAAAGAGCAATGAGCTGTCCTCCAAGTTTTGGAAGCAGGTGGTCTATGAGATGCCGGCTAAACGCAGAGAGACTCTGTCCAGACGTCAGGTACAAAATAAAACAAAGAATTATAGGATCGGTCCATAAATGATGCTTTCTTAACATAAAGGTCAGAGCTACACATTGTGTGACATTAGGTCACACAAAGGTGTTCCATTAGCATTAGTAAACGTATTTGGTAAGAGTTAGAGTAGCAAGAGGTGTTTTGTTAACATTAGGTTACGCAAAGGTGATTTGTTAGCATTAGCAAACGTATTTCGTTAGCATTAGGTTAGCAAGAGGTGTTTGGTTAACATTAAGTTACCCAAGGTGTTCTGTTAGCATTAGCAAACATATTTGGTTAGCATTAGGTGAGCAAGAGGTGTTTGTTTTACATTAGGTTACCCAAGGTGTTCTGTTAGCATTAGCGAACAGGTTTTGTTAGCATTAGGTTAAGAAGAGGTGTTTGGGTAACATTACTGTAAAGGAAGAAAATATTCTAACATAGTTAACTTTGGAAAAAGGTTGGCTTCTCATTCTTCCCTCTCCAGGTCCACCCGGCGAGCTGCGCTTGGTAATAAAAACCAACATTGCGTGTTGACGTCACAGAAATACAGAGTTTAATCCAATATAAGACAATGCATAAACTTAGAAATAAGACAATGCACAAACCTACACCAGAAACTGCAGAACAACAGAGACATACATTCCATTACCTGACATAGGAGGAAAGAAAGCAAAGACGTACAAGACATCTTTGGAGAGTTTGCAAGAGCAAAATCTGATCTGTAACTTCTATTTAGAAAGCTTTATCCTCTTGTATCTAATCCATTCAAAAAGGGCTGGCCCTCGGTCCTCCAACCAAAAGCCATCTCTGACACTGCCTAGAGCTTCCCCTTATTTACTGCAAACATCTGGGGTCATTTGCTTCTTTGTTTTAACAAGAAAAGGCGGAAAGCTTGTCCTGGCATCTAGAATTCTTAGGGTCATAAAACACAAGATAAGCTTCCACAGAATTGATGTGGAATGCGGGGGCCTTTTTCCTGATTCAGTTTCACACCATCCCTGGTTGTTTATTCTGGAAGACTTTTGACCTTCTGTAAACCAAGCAGAAATCTCTCCTGCAGGCTTAACTGTTATTCACCCCCCAGGAGATACTCATTCTATGGCCTGGTGCTCTAAATACTTACCCATTAGTAGTTTTAAATCATTAACACAGCCTTATTCAAAATTAAGAAATATGTTCAAGTGAGAGTGTTTACACATGCCATAAGATTAACTGTATTAAAAGCTAAAAATAATCATTTTTCTTTAACAGTCCCCGTTTTGAGGTCTGATACACACAGACCTCACAAATAAATTGATTAAGCCTTCTAATAGAGGAACCAAAAAACTATTTAGTATACTAAAAAACTAAAACATTAGCCCAATTTTATAACAGTCCCCTTTTTAAACAGCACCTCCTAGTTTCTTTTTTTCACAATTCAAGAATAAGAAGTTAGAGTTCGTCTCTATGCTCCTTCGATAGTCTTTCAAAAATGAATATGAATTCTTCGTCAGGAAACGATCCAAAAATACGCGCAAAAAAAACGAATGTTCTTGAAGAGTTCGCAAAAAACGAAAACACGCAATAAAGAGAAGATAAGTTAATGATGATCTTGTAGCCTGATCCTTCACGTGTTCCTCCTCGGTTGTAAACCTCAGGTTTTCACCTGAGTGTCATTTGCTCACTGAAAATTGGAGTCTTGTGCCAATATAACAGTGAGTTTAAGGAGAGGTTGCAATCTCCTTTTCTCAATGGAAGGACACCGGAACAGGATTATTGTGCCTATCCGGGCCTTTTAAGCCTTGTAATTCAGGAAAATGAAGTGGTTTTGGCAGACTTCTGCCCGGAAATGCAGATCCTCCTCCGCGCTGTGATGTGCCTCAGACACTCCTCAAACCGCAGGTTGAGACTGTAGATTCTCCTGTATGCCCTGCAGCGTGCGCCGTGGCTCCTCAGCTGACTCCAATGGAACCACGTGTCTCCTTTTCCTTTGCAGACGGACAGCATGAGATGTACTCTCCACGACTCGGTATGGTCTGGCGAAGCGAGGTTCAGACCATTTTCTTTTGATGACCTTCAGGCGCACCCAGTCGATTTCCCGAACTGATCCCGAGCCTGGACGTTCCTGTGTCGTCTGGTATTTTGTAAATTCCGCTGCCAGGACCTGTAACTCATTGAAGAAATCTTTATGAGATAAATGTGCAAGCTTACCTTTCCATCCTGGAATGCGGGTAGCAGGTCCTGGAAACATCCGTCCTGTCTGGAGCTCATATGGAGAGAACCCTGTTGATTGGTCAATGATTGATCCTACACTTTATGACAGCTTTACTGACTTCCTTTTGTATTATAAATCTACTACTTTGGAGCTGTATTTTAACAATCCTTTGACCCTCTTTTTATATAAGGCCTACATGAGAAATGAAAGTTTCCTATCATGTTAAACCCAAAACTTAACTGTATTTTAGAAGCAGTTCCATAATCGTTAATTTGTAAATCTCCAATTTAGACCAATTTAATTTCAATCATCATATTTTCTATTTTTTTAAAACCTTAAAGAATGATCAGCCTGTTTTACATGAGTCACTGAATATCAAAAATGACCTACTTTATTCCAATCATAGTTTTAAATCCCCAAAAATTTCAATCATTTTTACCTTTGATCCATTTATTCTTTTGAAAACCTATTTATAAAATATTTAATTGAATAATGTATTACCCTTTTTATATTGTTTATCAATTATCAATGCCTTTTCAGTTTTGGAGAGAGATTTGATACAGCTAAATTTATTAAATGATGTAAATCTTTAGTTTAGACCTTCCTGGATGTCTTAGTTAAACAACTTATTTTAAAACATATGAATAGAGATGCAACAATCCAACAATCACCTTCCTTAGTTTAAGAAACACTATTTTATGTAAATTATTTGATAGACAATATTTTGTGTAGTATATTCAATTTGTAAATTTTACTTATTTCATATCCAAATAGTTAGCTCATCTTTAATGCTGCTAATACACCGTAAAACATTTAATGTATTTTGATTTAACTTCAATAACCTCTTTTTCCGAAAAGTAAAGAGAGATCCAAACTAAAAATTTGCTTATTAGATCAATTCCATTCATGTCCCCCTGTTTCTATAACAGAACAAATGTTCTGTCATAGAATACAATAAAAATCCTATACAACTCATTGAGATGAAATCCGCTATCACCACTAACTTTAGCCTCATGTAACACAGTTGGATGCAATTCAAACATGGTGTCCCAGATGCTGTTACAATCTGCACACCTCAATCAAAGAATTCTAATGTTTGATTAAATTTATGAAATCAACACAGAACTTGGTGTCATTTGCTCAGTAAGTCAGTCTATAGACACCCAATCCACTTTAACACCTTAATTGTAAATTCAATTTAAATTTAAATTTAGTTTTACTGAATGATAGCCACTATACTATGTAAATAAAATTTAGATCATCTTCCTTAGTAGATGAAGCGTAACACACAATGCAATTCAGCTATAGTTAAAAAAAATGTAATTGCAATCGTTAGTCCCTGCCCATTCTTTTCAGGCAGGAAGGGAAAAAGACACACTAGCATTTTGTGAGACAAACAGAGTGAACCATGGAGGAATGCAGTGTCGTAACAGTTGGTGCACACCAACCCCCAACTGCATTGTAAAACCTCTGACCCCAGGAGATGGGGTGTCCTCAACACTTAGAATTACACTGCAGGGCTTCAGGACATGAAGACAGCAGGGCGCATCAGTGCTATATCTAAAATAAGAAGAGAACAATGGCATCACACACTACAAAAATTTAAAGAAAAGAACTTATTAACCACTACCAAGTTTAGTTGGCACCCATTTCGTCTCCAACCTGCAGACTGAAGGGAACCCCAGGAGTGGGCTTTGGCGCCCAGGTCACATGATCAGAGGTGAGAATCCAGGATCAAACATGAGAACACACAACAGGACCACCGCTGAGCGACTTGCCATGCCCCAATTCTTTATCTGCTGAATCAGAAGGTGTCCAGAATAGCAGTCCTTCCAGCAGTGCAGAAACATCTGGATACAGTCCCGCTTTGATGAACTTTGGTCAGCCTTTCGTGGTCGACAGAGCAGGACATAGAAACCAGCAGACCAGTCATCTACTGAAGCCCCCGTCCGGGTTTGGACAAAAGGCTATCATCATTGTTGTCCCGACTCACTGCTGATTCCCAGCCATAAAAGACTCCACCAGATAACGCTTGAGTCCCTTTTGTTTTCAGTCAGGTAGGAAAAACAACACTCAAAAGAGACATCTGTTGCCAGGTCCTGTGAGCAGCACTTTGCCCTCACGTGACAGCAGGAAAACAGTTCGCCTTCACTGACCTTCGTAATCGCTCAACAGCGTTTGGCTTTCATACAGCAGTGCAGCAGAAGATGGGCACAGTGCAGCATCATCATGTCTTTGTTCAGCAACAACAGTGGCCTGATGCGGTAATCAAGAAGATCCCTTCAAATACATCTTCCCATGATCTCTGAGCTTAAAAGACCCTTCCCCCAAGATTGCCATCAAGTCAGAAGGAAGGAGAACTGCCAGAGAAAAAATAATAAAAAGTAATTAAAAAGCAAAACTTATATTTGCCACATTTTGTTACTTTCACTATTATAAATAAAATTTATCTTGTGATGCATCCTCCCGTGTGGCTCTAGATTTGTTGTTGTTATAGCACAAACTGCCCCAAATCCTGTACTGCAAAAAATAAACATAGAAATCTGTTAAAATAGTCCACGATCAGATGTGCCAGAATTAAGAAAATAATGACACTTACTGTTCAAAATCAATAAACGTCAATACCTCGATGACATTCACTCTGCTTGTGCCAAATACCAACTACAAATTCTAAAATCACAACCCTCACAAAGTCATTAAAGAATTAGAATAAACTATAAAATGTCCTAGTACTGATACCAATAAAAGTTGTGATTGAATTGCACTTGGTCAAATAGTTATGAATTTCATATTGTTCTACTAAATACC